TCAAACTCAAAAGCCTTCTTCACATCGCTCGATAATCTCCACATGGTTAACAATTTAGATCTCGTCAAGAATCAGAAATTGTACAATGATCTCATTACATATGAAATAAGCACCGGACGTTCTATGATAGACCACATTTTCATACACTCTTCATTAATTCCTGACCTTATAGACCAGACAGTAGAAAAGGTCGACAAAGATTTATCAGATCATGCCATTGTAGTAGCAACTCTCTTCTCAACAACTATTAAACCATCCTTTACTCAACATACTGCAATGAAAAAGCTAGTCTTTCGATACGACGAAATGTCCAAAGACGTATAGTCTGACTTTGGAGCTTCAGTTGACCATCGATGCAAACACACTAGACTTAACAATATATCTTTGAATGACATATACACAATTCACCATTTGAACTATTATTGGGATCTCCTACAAACATCAATTACAGACGCTGCCACTAAAACTATTCATAACAAACAGACTTCACATCACACCCGCGATCTCAGACTATGCATTCTTAAACTGATTTATAAGCGTATCAAATTGATTCAAAAACTTTGCAAAACTAGTGACAAATGCATCAAGGACAACACTATAGACCCAAAATGGATTACCTGATATAAAAAAATACAGGCCTTCTCAACTGAATATGCGATAACACTTCTAAACAATAGTCAACTTTCATTACAAAACCTCAAGGAGATTCGTCCTTTATTAATCGATTTTTGAAAAATCTTATACACCGCTGCAAAATTAAATGAAGCTGAATTTAAATCCAAAGCCATCAATGATGCCATCAAAAGACGTTATAATAACTTTGTAGATGACCAAAAATCCATGTTTGATTCATTACTAGATCATTCTCGCACTACTATTACACTAGACAGATGCATAAACAACAACAGCCTGACAAAGAACTCCTTACGGACCCTAAGGATATTCAAAAGGAGACAGCAAGACACTTTTAAAAAGTGGTTGGTTCACAATATTCTAACCCATCCCTGCCAGAGGTGTGGGAACAAGTCTATAAACCGGACGACTCAATTGATCCCACTATATACCACTCCGTTATGCAACCCCTTCAAAGGATGAATGGCACAACATCATTAGGGTGCTCCCTAATAGAAAAGCTCCTGGACCATCTAAGATTTCCAACGAGATGTTAAAACACCTCGAGCCCTTCACAGCTAAATGTTTCTGGATTATAATTTGTAGATGCCTGACACTTAATCTGGCACTTAGCAAATGGAATCTAGCGTTTGTATATCCAATATCCAAGCCAAAACCCTGGGAATATAATTTAACCAACATACGGCCAATTACGCTACTCAAATGCCTACGAAAAGCTCTCACAAAACTAATCAATAGTTGACTATTAAATATTTTGTCTACCAACAACATTCTCAAAGGTAACAATTTCGCTGGTCTGCCTTGTAGGAGCACTTTTGAACCTATCCATATATTCAACAATATCAACTACGATGCCTTGTTTCATCACAACAATCTTTGGATCTTATTCTAAGATATGTCTAAAGCATATGATCGGGTTAACATCACAATGTTGATTAGAGCCCTTGGACGCCTTCACATTTCAGAAATATTTATAAAATTCTTGATTTTGATTTTTCTTCCCCATTTTAATCAAGTGTTTACTGCGCACAGTAACTCTGATACTTATCTAGTTCTCTCGGACATTGACCAAGGTGAAATTATATCACCCATCCTATGGTGTATATATTATGACCCTCTTCTTTGTTTTATACAAAACTCGTCACATGGCTATACGCAACATGTTCATTAG